GAAATGGCTGAGAGGAACCAGAGCAAGACTGTGGGGGAAAATCAATAGCAGGGAGCTGCAGAGGAGCTGGGGTAGGTGAAACCTCTCCGTTTGACCTACTTTAGCAGGTGTAGTTGTTTAAATGGAATTTAAATCTCTGAAGATATGTGGGGAACTTCCTGACATCACCCAAAGATGGGCAGGGGCCAGGGCAGGGCTACACACGTCAAGTATGTGCTTAACCATAACTATATCCAAAGCCTTCAGTAGCAGCACAGATTTCCACATGCACAGGCTCATTTCATGAGCAGGCAGAGCTCCACAGGGGTCACAGAATCAGTGGTGAATGAGTAAAGCACAAAGGTATACCAAAAATAGTATATTTGGAACACAGTTTTGGAGTATGTTAGGTATCCAGCTACCAATATCAGATTTAAGCTCTACCTGCTTTGTTCTTACATTGTCCAGAACTGTGTAACATCTGTCCATACTTTTATTCTCAGGAATTTAAAACAATTGTTTGTCAGTTATTTATAATTAGTTACTTGTCTCTCACTCCAACACTGCAGGATTTTGAAGGAAAAGATTGGGAAGAAAAAAATTAAATTCAAATGTATCTGCATGTTCTGATCTTGCTTATGGATTTAGTTTTGTAAACTAATATTTGCAAATTTATCCCCCAAATTTTGAATGCTTTTACCCTTTTTTCTCTTTCATTATGGTCTTTTTTTTTTTTTTTCATCTATCTTTCACTCTTTCACTCTCTCTTTCCCTTCCTCCCTCTCTCCTTATTTAGTTCTTTTGTCCCTCCCTGACTCCCTGCCTGCCTACATTTCATATGTAATTACACGGTTCAGATCAGGAGAATTAAGGAACAGGAAAACATATGATGAAACTGAAGGTAAAAGTAGAAAAGCCATCAAACTATGTGCTGTTACTGCAAAACATTCTAAACAAAAGTAAACAAGAAATAGAAGCTGAAGGAACAGAGTTCAAAATTTCTGCCAGATCACAGCAAAGCGATTTACATTTTACAGGTACCGTGGCTGGTTTATCCTTCCCCTGTTCACTTACCTCAGCTGCAGAGGTGAAGCAAACTTTCCTCAAAGCCTAATCCCTTCTGTTGGTAATATTTTCACAGTCTGGTTCTGCTTCTCCCTCCTTTTTTCTGCATCATTTTCTCCACAGAGTGACAGGATTACAGCTATTGTGCCCATTTTGAGTTGTGTGCACACTGTCATCCATGTCATTGTAACTTTATGTCTTACTGGCAATAAAAGAGTGACACAAATTGTTTTCCTGCCAGATTAACATTGTCTAGTAGATTTAATGCTCATAATCTAATGTGAGGAATAACATTATATGGGCAACAGCAGTCAATCTGCTTACAACAATTGTCCAGCATTGCTGGGAAAAAAAAAAACAAAACACTGCAATTCCAGCCCTGTGGAAGCAGAGCGCCAGTCTGCACAGTTCTGTACCTTCTGAGACAGTGGCTTACAGTTACTGTGCCACACAGCTGTATGACTGGTAGGATGACATGGAAATACAGCAAAGGAAAAGGAGAAGCAATAAATAAATAAATAAGAAAGAAAAAGGAAATAAAGGAGAAGGAAAGGGAAACAGAAAAAGGAAAAGGAAACTCGAGGTCGAGTGCGAGTAGTGTGTACTCAGCGAACTGCAGAACGAAACCTTGGAAAATGAGAACAAAAAATCAGTGTGAGTACAACTTGTTGCATAGAACTGTGATTTATCTGCTTTTATTTTCAATAGTTCCAGAAGAATCGTAATGTAAGATTTTATAACCTATTAAAACATGTCTGATGTTTATGGTGTATTTTAGAGTGGACACATTATAAATAGGCAGCAGCTGCACAGCAGTTTCTTCTCATAGGTCTTATTTCGTCCTCATGCCCTTTTATAACTTTACCTCAGGAACTACCCAGTGTTAACCAAAGATAAAGATTTTGGCCAAGAATAAAAAAACAATCAACTTTTCAATTACCTCTAAGTTATTTGGATTGCCCTGATCTGAGGTGGTCTTTATTTATGTAGTTGTCTTCTATTTTCAAAAGCAGATCTGCATACAAAAGGGTTAACAGCAGCAGTCTCTTTGGGCTCTGCAGTCACCTTCAGAGCAAACAGGTTGCCCTTTCACAGGAAAGAGGTGGTAATCAATCTAAGTTGCTCACCTTTTTTTTTTTTTTTTGTCTGTGTGTAGGGAGTGGCATAATTAACACCAGAAATTTGAGTTGACCCCAATATTATGTTGGGAGATGGCTGAGAAGAGGCATAGTGGTGGATGGATCTGGGTGACAAGGTCATGTCCTTATCTGGCCCAACTCTCTGCACATTTCTGTTACATATGGAGGGCCCCCGTGATGTCAGCCTGGACATTGCTCTTAGCAGCATCCATCTCTGCAACTTTAGCATCTTTTCTGTATACCATTCACTTGAATGCAAGGAGGGCAGCCCACTGTCAGGGGAAGCAGCAGTACCAGCAGTGGTGCAGGATGTGGCACTGAATGTTTGCCCTATCGTGGCTCTTGGTGCTGGAGGACCAGTTGCTGCCTCAAGAGACCACAGGGCATCTGTGTCAGTGCACAGTAGGACAGAGGCCTAACTTGTTGGATATGTTGCTCTCACACAACATGCACAATGTCAGGGATGGCAGCAGGGGCACCTGCCTGCTTGTGGTCCACTGCCCCTTCCTATACTCATGTAGTCAGTCTCTCACTAGACAGTCTCTCTCATGGCGCTCTCACCAGACAGGTCCATCTGCATGGCAACATCTTGAAGAAAGCTGAGGCTAAGTTTCAAGTTGTACCAGTTGAGACAGGCTGAGAGAGCAACTGCAAGAAGAAAGAGGGTGGAATAGACAAGCCCTGCCAGCAGCAGAGTGAAAGGGAATAGTGAGACAGTGGATGAGGAAGGGAAAAGGAGTGGAGAGGAGACAAAAAGCAGGATCTTAGCTCAGGAGTGGCTTCACCAGCAAATTCAGGGGGAGAGAGATTAAAAGATTAAGTGAAGGAATGGTAACCTTGATCAGAGGGACGTTCAGCTTACCTGCCTGGTACTTAGGAGGGAGTGGCCTGCAGCCAAGGGATCTTCTCCATGTTAGAGGACTACGGCACAGGGACTTTTGTGACCAGAAGGGAGGCTGGCTTCATCTACACAGTGAAGATAATTTCACATTCTAGGGCCTGAACTAAGTGCAGGTGTCAGTGGTCACAGCTACCATTCAAAAAATAAAGATATATTTCAATCTTAGATAGCATCTTACAAGCAGTAATTAAACTTTTACAACACCCATGTGAGGTAAGTGAATAATTATCACTCCTATTTTAAAGCTATGAAAGGAGGGAGGGTAAGTGGTTTGCCGAAGGCCATGCAATGAGTCAGGTGGCAGTACTCCCATTAGCAGGCATCAGCTCTTGCTTCCGAGGCCTGTCCACGAGCCACAGCAGTGTTATAGTCTCCCCATCAAGAGATGAAAGCAAGCTGATTTCTCAAGCGCTTTGATTAGAGAAAGAAGGTTAGAAATAGCCCATGGCTGTTTCTAGAGAAAGAGTCAGGACAGAAGGAGAATTTCTAAAGAGGACAGTGGAAAAGTGCCAGGCTCAGAAAAGGGAATGGTGATAAAGTAACTATTGATATGTGTGGTTATGAGGGGAATAAAGCTGGCAAACCAGAACCAAATGACAGGGAAGAAAAAAAGGTCAGTGATGAAGATAAATTTCTCAGAGAGCTTTGTGGCACTTAAGAGGCTTAGGGGAGAGGTGAGAAGGGAATGAGAGAGGAAAGAAAGATGGGGAGAAATTCCAGTGAAATGTGTACAGCAGCATTTAAAAGCTGCTGCACTTGGAGGCAGGGAAATAAAAGGCAATGAGCATGAGGCCTTTCAGTGCCTGCCCAATTACAATCATGCTATTGTCTTTCACACAGCAGCTGTGGATCCTGGAATTGCCTGCCAGGCTAGGTAAGTGTTGGCACTATCATCTCGCTTACAGGAGGACTAAAGCTCATACCAGTGTAGAAACTTACCTGTGGATGTTCAGCAAGGCAAAAAAATTATTACAATAATTGGAATATGGAATAGAACGACAGACAGAACACACAGTTTTCAGTAGCATAGAAGAAAAAAGGTGACCGATGTCAGCAGCCCAAATCTATTTTTCCTGGCTCTAGAATACATCATGCTGAGTAAAATGGCAGGTAGAGACCATGAGTTATAGATCCTTAAGCTTTAAACTGCAAGCTAAGAAATACTGACAGGCAGATACATTAATATATGCACATGCACGCAAATGCCCATGGACACAACACAATTACCCTGACACTGGTTTTGGTATTGTACATGTCCTTATGTAAGTTATTTCTGCAGTTTCTCAACTTTCCTCCTTTTAGTAAAATTAAGATAACCACTCTTACATACAAAACAGAAACTTACCTATAACCTAGATGTATTTTGCAATGCTAAGTGTGCTTAACTTCCCAGAGTGCTCTGTGATCCTCATCTGGAAGCTGCAAATGAGCACCGTCCCAGAGTTTGCTTTTTTGGTTGTTTTGTGCTTTAGAACACAAGCTGTATGTCTGACAGCTGGTGGCTGCCACACCACAATGAGCATCACCTGAAAAAGTAAAATCTCAGAAAATATCTGTCATCATTACAGGTAGACTCTGAAAGACTGTCAGAAAGAGTAATATTTTCAAGGCCTAAGAGAGTGAGGTGCTTGAGAACAAAAGTTCCTCTTCATTTCACAAACCACCCTTCCTAAACTCTGCTTCCTCCTTTTCCTCACCAAAAAAAAAAAAAAAAAAAAAAAAAAGAAGAAGCTACAGCTACTTTTACCTCAGTTTGTGGAAGGCAGAGAAGCATCCTGCAGTTTAAAGAGGAGGAAACCAATTCAACAAATCTGTCGAGTGAGTCAGTAAAGAGCAGTGTATAAAATAAAGCTTATTTTTAGTAACACTCCTTGGGTTTTAAAGTTATTCCAACTTCACCTCTTCCTTTTTTTCAGCTTCACAGGAAGATCAGAGGCTTCTTATGCCACCTCTCCTTCCGTCTGGTGCAGAGGGCCATGGTACTTCAGCTGTGCAGTGCTACCACCCTCTGGCCACTTTAATTCCACAGTCCTCAATCTGCAGGAGTCTCTGAACTCAGTCATATGCCTCCTGAGTCTACTCTGTGAGATAGATTTCACCCTTTGAAGGTACGTATGAAAGAGTGATTTTCACCTTCTGATGCGGCTCTACACAATGCTTATTTTGGTTGATTACTTTTGTAAAGGGATTTCATCTGGGCAAAGGAAGCTGTTTGACATAGCCAAATACAGTCATCCAGCACATATAGCACTGGGTTTCTTTTAAAAGGCCACCATCCATGTCAGATTGGTGACTGGTTCCTGCTTGGAAGATATCTTCTGTAGGATGAGATGTTCCTGGATCATTTTGATATTTAAGTGTTGGAATGGCATTTCCTGTGGTACCTTGACCAAGAGATTTTATCTTTCAGCACCTCAGCCACACAGCTGTAACACAGATATAATGCATCTTAGCTTTTGCACATGGGTGTTGCCAGGATGAACTTATTAATTATTTTGATTACATGGGTGTGAGCTTATAAAAATATCAAGTTATGTAGCAGTCCACCCAGATCACTCTATGCTGACACTACCAACACTGAGATTTCTGCAGAGATAGTTGTCAGTGGTGTCAGCTTCTGCCCACCATAAACTGTTCTGAGGCCACTAGCTCATTTTCCAAAGCACAGCCAGAAGATATAGGGTGGGGAAGATCGGAGGAGTAAAAAATAATTTGCAGCCAAAGCCTGAAGTACTTGGAACATGAAAGCTATTTCACATAATGCTACTGCAATAGAAGAACAAGCTTATTTTGCTGAAATTATCCCAACTTTTCATATTTTATGTAAGAAATTGCACAATAATAATAAACACAGAGATAAAAATAGGCTCAGAAGAAAAACTGTGGCTTCAAAGTTGAAACACCATGTTCTAGCATTATACTTTTTTTGTGCCAAGCAAATCACATCTTTTTAAACCTTTATGGAACAAGGAAGTGGGAAGAACATAGGTAATAAAGTACTTTCTTGCAGAATCTTGCCAGCTGTGTAGCTTTTTAGGGGTGATAGAGGATCACCCTAGTCATATCCTATGCAAAGGAGCAGTGAAAGCATCCATTGTACTTTGTAATTTCCTTGTTGCAGCCTCTCCTTACAGGTGATAGGTTGACACACTCTTTCCTAGAAGCACTGTGGATTAGGAGGGCTAAGACTGAAGAGTTCACTCTGAGGCTTTGCCCAGACTTCTCACCTGATCTCTAAAACCTGTTTGAAGATGTCATTATGTTTGCGACAGAAGCTTAGAAGAGGAAGCCAGGAGGCAGCACACTGACATATGAACCTTCATATGGTTTTGTAAAGAATCTGTTCAACAAGATGTCAGAAATGGGCATTTTATCTGCCATTCAAGCCTATACGTAGATTTTTCTTTCAGCAGAGCAGTTCATGCTGGAAGTGGATTTTGGTTTTAATTTTGTTGTTGTTGTTCTCTCCTTGATGCAGACAATATAATGGTACAAACTCTTGCAAAGACATCATTGTTTCAGTGGAAATTTATCCATAGTACATGGTCTACTTTTTGCCTGACAGTGGCTATTATTGGCCTTGTATACATAGAAAGTTGTAAAACAATGTTAAAAGGTTGAACTACTGGAAGAGTAGTTAAAGTCCCACAATTAGGAGAGTAGTTAAAGTCCCACAGTTGTTATGTGTAGACAATCCGTGAGTGCCAGCAGTGCTGTTTCATTTCTCAGGTTCAAAGTGGGAAGAGAGGACATAGTTCAATTTTATCTTAGAACAGTGTCTCATTTTATAGCAGTCAATATGTCTATGGAAAAGGGGCCTACTCTGTGTTCTCTGCCCTCAATTCCTTATCAGAAATGATAAGGAATCTGATCCAAACAGTTTATTCTGTAAATCTTAGTTTAGTCTGTAAATATCTGAATACTGAAGAGCCTACAATCTTTTTTCACTTCGGGAAAAGAAAAAATAAAATAAAAACAACCGGAAGAGTCTGGTAGCATGTCTACATTTATCAAAAATAAATAATCCTATCTTTTCTTCTCATCTACTCTCATGTCCATAATCAAGTGCTTATTTATATAAAGAACAAAAACAAGCAAGAAAAAAATGGAAAGAAAGAAAAACCACAACCACACAACTACTGTGCCTAATATTTTGCTATGAAAATGTGCTTCACAAAATTAATGACAACTTTCAAATCTCTAGATTCTGACTCGTCAGAACTCATATTTCCCTTTTCCATGTCCACCCACAGGAGAGGTACTGGCTACCTACCTGAAGGAAGAGAAAGCCATGGCAAAATGATATTCCTTGCATTATGCCTTTTAGTAACCAAAATCACAGGCTGTAGAAAGGAGCAAATTTCAAATGTGTAGAAATTTCCTACAAAGAATGGACTTTACCTTTCATTTCTCTCTGGGGACCAACATAAAAATGTGTGTCTTCAGTTGATGAAATCTGTGGTGAGCAAAGCTGTTGGCTTCACAACATGGTTTGTCTTTGGAGGTACTGCATCTTATGCCATTTTCTAGTGTTTGTCATATGATGTCCTATATAATAAAATAAATATTACTAGCAAAACACAATTTAATCATCCAATAAATATTAAGTTCATAAGTCAAACATCTGATTAAATAAGTTGCAACTTATTTTCCCAGCCGATTTGGATTCCTTTGGAGAGAGAGATGTTGAGCTACATTTGTCATATTTGATGGAAGTGCCAACACTTATTTGTAACCAAGACAAAGAATCTTATACTATAGCTTGAAAGCTGTCATTAGCATTTAGTGGATAAAACCATGTTTAAGGCCAACCAGCCTTCTGCTCTGCAGATGGATGTCTCTTCCATCATAATCTACCCAGATACCAAAGGTGAGGAAAGCATATCTTGGAGATATCAACTTGATATAACTTCCCATAGATGAGTCTTCCAAGACACAGAGAATCCTTTCTTAAGCTTCGTTACAAGCTGGAAATCTTCCAGCAACCAACTTCGCAATACAAATAACACTTCTTTTTTTTCTTGTTTTCCCCCAGAAGCTTGAGTAGTTTCTATGATACCTTTGTCTTCAAAGATCTCAAATCACCAGGCTAGCCCCTGTTTATTAAACACCAAATTCTTCTAGCTGCTCACTAGCCAGTATGTCTGACCAATACAGAACAGAGGAAAGAGGAAGGAAAATTGGTATACATTACATTTTGAAAGCATGAAATCCATAATGAGAAAAGTGAGGAAACTCACAAGTCCAGGCTCCTACCCTGGAAACACTTGTTGCCAGCTGGTTCTATTTCAAGTGCCTAATTCGATGCTAAGTGCCATATTATTGTACAATAAATTTAAAAAAGAAAAGAAAAAGATAAAAGAAAAAAGACAATGATTGAAAGGTTGCTTCCTACTCAAATAATCTGAAACTCTGGAGATCAATACTGTGAGTGTTTGATGAGAATGTTCCGTAAATACTATTTTTATGGATATGTGTGTGCTAAAGTGAAAACAAAACTTTCACTTCAATTGAAAAGAAAAACTGGAAGCTGGCTTTTGTGAGATGTTCAACTCTTCTACCAATCAAAAAGATGAAAGGGAGTGTGTGGGTGTGAAAAGCTCTGAACTCAAAAATACTTACTGACTTAACTAAAAATATTTAGATATCTAAATTGGATGTGAAGAATTTGGGGATATTTTTTAAGAAAATAGGAATGTCAAAATGAGCTTTATTTGCTCTTTGATGAAACAAATTTCAACTTCTTCCAGAGGCTAAAATGGCTGGCACCAAAACCAATAGAGTCTCAATGGACTCATAGGGTAAAATACCATTTACTCATACATCCAACTGCTACAACAAGTGAATCTCTTTGGCAATATGGCAACACATAACTAGTTTGTTTCACAATTCAGCATTTTAAAACCCAGATTGTCTATAAACTCTCTGTTTATAGAAGATTCAGTGATAGCAAATGGAAAAGAAACTGCCTCAAGCTGTTTATAAAAGTGTAGGTTACACAGATCTGTGAAGCTTCTCTCAAGGTGTACAAGAGATGATTTTTCTAATCAGACTAATATGAATTAAATTAATCTTTGGGAACAGGATGACTTACAAGTGAAAATGCCATAATCTTATGTCATTTGCTAGAGAAGGAAAATTGAAGCAGCTGATCAGCTGATCTATTCAGGGCATTTTAATCTAATTTGCACAGGAGTGGGTCTAATTCAATGGGCCTCCTTTAATAAATTTAATGTTATTAATCAGTCATTTAAATCACAGTCCTTGCCTATTTTTACTCCCCTCTTCCTCCCACATGTACGTAATACTAGCTTTTCTGAGGCAAGGGCAAGGAGACTAATGGGAATAAATGTGCAGGCAAGAGTCATAGGCATAATGACCCAAGAGGTGATCGCCTCCGATAGCCACATTTTCTGATTTCTTGAGCCTGTGGTCACCTAGATCATGCTGCTGGCCATTTGATGGGACAGGAGCCGAGTCCCTCCACTTGGGTCACTTGGGAAGGGAAAAGCTGCCGGGGAGGTTTCTTATCCTCTCCCACATGTGGAGTGTAACTAATCTGCATAACTTCCAGAGCCCACAGACCATACATGGAAGGTCAGCAGGGCTGTGGTCACCAGCTCACAGCTGGGGGGAAAACAAAAACAAAAACAAAAAAGCAGAAAACCAGCAGCCCTTAGACTCCAAAGGCTGCAAGTCAACTCTCACCTGACAAGACTTGTCAGGTCTCTGTCCTTGAACCAGATTGGAGTTCTGCATTAATTACTATTATTGTCACAGCAGTATCTTTGGTGTTTACCAAGGCCCTAATTGGATTACAACGCAATGGATGCACGCATACCCTGATTCTATGGATAAGATAATAAAGAGATTGATCAGGCATGTGCATGTTTCATGTTCCCGCAGTGCTTACGCTGCTGCTTCCCACACCTATCTGTGGGAGGACATCATTGCCCTCTTTACATCATGTGGAAAGCACAGATCTTTGATTTGAGCTCCAGGAGCTGAAGCAATGCTGGTATAGGATGTGCAGTTATGTGGCACTATGAGGACAGACAAATCCATGCATCTGACAGATCTGTTGTTTGCTTCCTTAAATATTATTTTCTGGATGCAGTGGGCCACAGTGTCTGAAGTTCCCAGCTGGGCAACTGTCATCCAAATGGATGATTGATAAAAAACAAACAAACAAACAAACAAACAAAAAAAAACCCAAGAATGGCTCCTCAGCCCTTTCAAGAAGCTATGTAATTTCAAATCAAAGCTGCCACTTTACCCTCCACTGATAACAAATTAGTTCAATAGGCCTGGACTTGCTGGTTAACTTGGGAGATGGTGAGATCATACAGCCGAAAACTGTCACATTGTTATCAGTAATGTGATTCTGCAGTGCAATCCTTTCTTTCTAGCATCTCTGAGAACACAAACCTTGGGTTTTGGTACCTCACCAGGCGAATTTGCACATGAGAGTTCACCTTTCTGTAACAGCTGTTACAGCAAAACATAAAAGAAAGTAATGGAAAAGCAGCTGGGTACTTCCTGTGGAAAAAGAGAGCTATGGGAACTAGATATTATCTTTGCCTTGGAGAAAGGGTTTCTATTGTCTATTAATTTACCACCCTCAGAGATACAAATTCAGAACCCACATAAGCTGTAATACAACCAGGTCAAATGAATTGGAAGGTGAATGTGTAATTTATGTGGACCTGGCAGATGTTAATGATGGCTTCCAACAGGAAAAGAAATGCAGGAAGAGAATTTGCCCATTGAAGAAGTCCAACAGCATTTATACTTTGTAACAGTATTACTTTCTGTATCCAGGTGTTTCAAAAGTAAACATCCTGCTACCTTTTAGGAGAAGATCCTTATGAATCTTTTCCTTTTAAGGCCCATTTTTATCATGCATTGTGCTTCTGTCTGTGTTTCCAATGCAACGTTCTATTAAGATTAGCAGAGTATAAATCTTTATGCAATTTAAATAAATAGTCTCTTGAGTGTCTGGCATTAGGAATACACTGTTCTATATTTCCCTACAGGCACTGATGTGTGCTGCAATTAAGATGTGTTTGTCTGTGTCATATTGCAAAGCATTTGATTTAATTTTAAATGGAACTGTCCCATCTCTTCTTTGACTTGACTATCGTGTAATTTGGCTAATTAGGATTCATTGGATATTTCTTTGCATTTGCCATAAAAAGGCCAAAGTGTGTAATATAGTATATCAAAGGTAGCTATGTGCAGTGTCATTGGCACAGTGCATGGAACGGCCCCGATGCAGACACTATTGTTGTAACATCAAATTCATCTTATGAACCTTGTCTGTCTAGCTTTATATATATATATAATTTCACATTCACTCAATCTGAATGGTTATTTCCCATATTAATATTCTTATTTGTTTGTTCTGATACCTGGGTGTTTCCTAAACTTACTGACTCATTTAGTACTGATCAGTTCTTAATATGGCCAAACGGAATTAAACATAGAAAAAAAAAAGAAAAAAAGAAAAAAAAAACCCATACCAAATACAGATGCCCCTCAGATCCTTTCTCAGATTTCTTGTAATTCTGTTGTCTGCTTTACTGATGGACATTGAGAAAAAAAAACACCATTGCAATCAATAGGTCTGGGACACCCATGCCAGAGTTCATCTATCGGGGGTAGATCAGTTACTGGAAGTTCATCTCATCCCACTGCAGACATCTGCAACAGGACAGAGGAACAGGCAAACTACCTTTTTCCCTTCACTGACTCCAGAAAGAGGTTAAAAAATTAACCGATGTCATGTAAATTCATGTTCCAAGCTGTCCTGCTTGTGTTGTGTAGTCCTCATGTATTTCCTTCACTCTGCACTACTGTGTGTGAGATGGACCTCTGTTCCAAGGCTGAAAATAGAACCAGCAGAGGTAAATCAGCCATCTGGCTGCTCCTGAGGTGTCAACAGTTCTAGCATCATGACATCTGTTGTGCTAAGGCCAGTGGCTTAGCACAGAAGGACTTCTATCACTGTAAAACTGGAGTAAACTCTCCAATCATCTGTTGTGATTACTTCATCCACCCCAATGCATTTCACAGGATGTACAGATTTCACTTGATAATTCCTGCACCAAGCTTCAAAAGTTTGAGGCTCAAAAAGATTGACTTCAAAAGAAAATTCATATCCTTTCTTGATTCAAAGCTCCTCCACCATCACTTAGCTCTTCCATATCCTCAGTGCTAATTTCCTATGGCTTGTTGCCCCATATTAGAAAACATAAGATTGTCATTTCAGCTCCCAGTAATATTCTGCTGGTAAATAAAAAGTGTGCTTGTTTTTCAAGAATGTGCTGTTAGTCTTTTAATTACAACAAGTGAACAAAAGCTGCAAAGGCATTTCGTGTTACAGGATGTAGTTTTTGCTAAAGGGCTGCCATGATGAGTTCAACAGTGTTAACTTTTCTTGTGATCAATCACAATAGCAGCTGATCAGTGATAAAGACATTGCTCCTCATGCAGACACTTATTTTAAAGCAGTCATCTCTACAGCACCACCAGCAAAATTTACTTCATGATTGGCATTGCTTCACCAAATGTGAGATCTGTGACAAACCTACCCTTCCCTGTCTCATTCTCCCTGCTGAAAGTCCTCATAATTCACTGCTTCATAACTTACTGCCTGAGCAAGAGCCAGGTAAGGCAATGAAGCAAAGCCTGTGGCCAGGAGAGAGGGGAGGAGGAAGATAACTGCCTCATTGAAAGCCCAGGCCTTCCTAAATGACTAGGCTTTCAGCATGCAGTCTGGCAAGAGACAGCACTTCCCTTCCTCCTCATGTGAGCAGGACAGGCAAGAGGCTTCACCATGTGTATCAATACAGAGGTTTACTGTCACCGGGTGACCTGGTATAGGGATATGCCACCCAGGATGTGGCCCAGTTGGCTGCTATCTGCCCCTCCCCAACCCCATTCCCCTGCCTTTCTCACATTTAAAAAATAAACAAACAAAATCACCTTTTCTTTCTTGTTAGAATGAGTATTTCCATGCCCCTACCTACAGCTGTTATTTTAACTAGTTTTAAAGGAATAACTGAGTTTCTTAGGTAATTTCTGGGCTCTGTGACCTGAGGCTTTCAGAAAAATAAAAAATACCATGGCAACTGATTGACAACAGACCCACAGCTATTTTATACCATTAGAGAAATATAATAAAAGCATTAGAGGAATTTATTTTTTTTTCTGACTCCTCATCTAAACAAATAGCAAGTTCTCTGAAGCCACGCCACAAAGGCTGAGCTCTTGAAGGAAAGAAATTTCAATTCCCCTGCAAAAACCCAGGGGTTTGTAGGCCCCAGATGAACAGCCAGGGCTGGCACAAGTGCCAGTGAAGGGGACAGTCTGGATGGCAAACTTACAG